AATTGAAATTTCAGCCAATTTGCTGTTGCAAGTGATTTGGTTTTTGCAATGTCGCCAACAAAAGAAATTTTGATTTGATTTTTACCATTTTGGGAATTATTATGTATCTATCGCCACAGAAGAATCAGTCAATAAACTAACTCATTAAGTTTTCCGTCATTAATATAGAAAGGAAATACTTCTTCATCGAGTGGTGGTTCATACAACTGGCAAGAAATAGGTTGCTATTTTCCAACCATAACTGAGTATTGAAACTTAAGAAAGTAGATATATTCAAACCACACTGTATTCCATAATTAAAAGAAATTAATGATATTTATTACTAAAAGAAAATTGTACCAGCTATCTAATGATTTGTAAGAGTTAGATATGACCAACCAGTTTACCGTATTCCAGAAGAATTAGTGAACACGATATTACTATCAAAAGAAATTGTACCAGCTATCTACGATTTGAAGTGAATCGCGAGTTCTGAATCGGAACAAACAACTCTGGCATAACCAAATAAAATCAAATAAAGAACAAGTATATCAATATAATGTATTATTCATGTAATTTTATTTCAACTGTTCACTACAGCATTGGTAGCTTAAAACTTAGCAACAGAAGTGGCGTAACGAATATCAGACTATTGATTTTGTTTGTTTATCCATTATGAATAGAATCCCGTCCATACTGAAGATAGGCACTTTGCATTAGATTTTATAAACGCGGTAGCCTCAGCGTAATCACACATAATCCCCGCCATTACTGGCAGATTTCTATATAAACGCTTTGATATAGACATTTACTGGCTATAATGGCAGAATATAGTGGTAAATTGTTTTTAAATGCTTGTATAAAGGCAAACCAATATAAGCGTTTCAGTGTATTTACTCTCATTGTATGGAGCAACCAAGATTATTTTCATTTAATAAAGGACATTTAAAACTTTTCTATAAAATTAAAGAAAAATTAGATACAATTTGAAGTCTATAAAAAAACCAATGATTTTGTGTTACTCACTCCGCATGCGGTGGAAATATATCCTTGAATGTGTTTGCCATTTCATTGATTTCCTTAAACCATTCGCCAATTTTCAACTTCACATTAGTTGGATTGACTTCACTTTTGTTATTGAATTGAAATATTTTGGCAACTCGTCCCGGATTCGGCAGTAAGCTAGTGCGATAGCAATACGGATCGCTAAGTCTGCAACGTTTGCTACTAAAAACCGATAAAAACCCCAATTGGCGATCCCAAAAGACTTCGCCCATTTTATTCGCCTTCGGCAGATTACCTATGCCTCCACCAGCAATTGTATTACGCAATTGGTTATGCTTGTTTAGTAAGAATTTCTTATAGCCATGCATATTCATGTTGAGTATTCTAGTCGTTGGTGGACAATCTCCGTTTAATCTCTGAAATAATATTTTTATTTTTAATCTCAATAATTTGTGAGCACAGCAAGCACTTACTCCATTCGGGTTCATACAAGCGCCATGTTGCGCTCCAAATTTTAAACATTTTAGTGTGCAAAATAAGTTTACGCCCGACGCAAACGCAAATATTCCCAAGACAATGAAGCATAGACGAAACATAGCTCTAATTTAAAGAAGATACTCGTAGCTCAAGTAAACTGGAAATCAAAAATTTTTGTATTTCATTGACATAAGATTTAGGAATTTTTAATTTTAGAGTAATCTTGTTTCTTATATAGTTTCAATATCACGCTTGAGAAACGTACAAAAAAATTGTGCTATGTACTATGTACATATAAGCGTGTGTCTTGCCTTTTCATTTTTCAACTAAATAGTTTGGGAAAATTACAGTGTGTCCGTTGTATAGATCGATCTTGAATATACGAGTATGGTTGCCCTACTATTGAGTTGATAGGAAAAATGTAATGCACTTGCTCGGTTTTTCCAATTTTTTTTTTTTTAGGCTAGGTAGGTCTATTGCTTTATTTTTGCTTTGAAAGCCGTTACTGTCTGTTTACCCCAGTCCGCTAGTTGTTGACTTAAGCTTTTCGGTTCAATTATAATCTTTCTATCGATAAATACCGGTATTGATAAAATTATGAGCCGTTGTGAACATTATATTTTATTAAGAAGTCCGTATATTTGGCTTCTATTATTCTACTTTTGATAATTTGCTAAGGAATGAAGTATGGCTTATGACTTGGTTCCTAACAAACGGTTCCTGCATTAGTTCCATATGTCACTTTTAAATACATATTTCTTTTCAAGTTATATTTGTTTTGTTAGTTCCTGATTAGATATAAATCTGGCTCGTTTGAGGTGCTTCGCCTTAATATAGATGATTATTTTATCATGTATCGATAGTATATCACAAACAACTAAAAGTCGCAACGGCTTATACCAAAGCTCGCACCTTTTTACTCTCCAACATACGGATCGTTCGACTCCAGTCTTCAATTATTGCAGCTCAACATAAATCTGATGGCAATTCATTTAATATGTTCTTATATATATGCATTTTTTGTCGGTTATATATATGTATATTGCTTATAAAATATTATTATTTCAAACGAAAGTATTATTCTCTGGTATATTAAAGCGTTCTAACAAGAAACCATATGCAAAGATATATATTTATTAAAAAAAAAAAAAAAATATTACTCTAATAGCTGGTAGTCTTCGCTTTCCAATTTGATTTTCCAGAATGGCGCCGTACAGCTGGTTTTTAAAAAAATGCTCATGCAATAAGCACAAGGAATGTCTTAACTAATATCCAAGAAATGTAAATAATACGAGTTGGAATGTACATATACTACATATGCTGTTTTGTAAATATATTTATATCACTGACAGTAATTTCTGCGATTTATGTCAAAGAATGCCTATGGAACATATGTATGTATGTGTATACACACTGTTGTACTATCACTTGTACTTGTTGCTTTTCGAATATCTGATTCAGAGTATAAATAATTCCATATAGAAATCGTTTGCGCTAGTTTGTAGCCTTGGCCAGATTTTAGCTTCGAATTTTTATTATAGTGAAGCAAAAAATCCAGCTTTGCACATTTTACTATTCTAAATATTTGCAAGTACACAAAACCATAATTAATATCTTTGTATGATATTAACGATGTCAGACACGTTTGAGAACATTTACGTATATGAGTTTGAGACACGCTTAACAAGTTTAGAGGAATCTACTTTACGCACAATTAAAGTTATCGACTTAAGATAACCTTCTGTATAACATTTAATAATTAAGCTATTTTAGCGAATTTCTTTTCACTTTTTTGTAAAAAAATATTGCATTTGTGAACACTTCTTACTTACAAACAACACACAATAAAAGAAACTTGTTAGCTAGGCGTCCGCTTAGTATTAACTCGCGGCCGTTTGCATTGCAAATAGCAGAGCTAGCAATTATTGATGTCTTTGGTTGGACAGAGTTGCCATTAGGAGCAAAATGAGAGGGATTTGTTCTACTAAGGAAAAACACTCTGTTTTCTCTAATAACTTTTTTTATATTTATTTGAATGTTTCTGAAGTTATTTTTCAATTCAGAAGCGAGCATATCTAATTGTGCTTTCAGATAATAGCTCTTAGTTTCCCTGTGTTCTAAGTTCTCGCCGTTCTATATGAAATCTCTAAACTACATATGCTTATAAATGATAAACTACAGCTACAATAACATCAAGTTGGATACGAAGCAATATTAAGTTGTTCTACCGCTTTAAATGTTCTTCGAAATTTTTTTGAGGTTATAAAAAGCATAGTAGACTCTAGATTTAATATAATATAACAACATGTTTTTTAACACTGTTAGAAAATTACTGTACTGTGTTGTAAGTTGCTAAAACCGATAGGTCAGACATGTTTACCGTTTTCCTTATGCACCAGAAAAGGTGGTTTCTCGTTTTCCTGTCGCGGATTCATTGAGTATAATTCTTCGACTTTGGTTACGTTTTATGTTAATATCATAATCATAAATTCGTACATATACATATATTATATCGAGAGTCTAATTGGCAAACTTTTTATTATGTTAATATGTTATACATGCCTCTGAAGCACGATAAAATTTCCAGCTGTACTCATTGCTTACTTTGTCTGAAGCAAAAGCTAAAGTTAGACGTGTTTTTATGATCTTGGCGATTTTCGTTTGTTAAAAGCTCACACTTCGTTGCTTGTTCGTAAAATATAGTTCCGTGTGACTTTTTCCTATTTTCATAAATAAAGAAAACCTTAAAAGGCGGTCGTTTTACAAGATAGATGAAAAACCCTGAATTAGCTTAAGGCTATTCCAAAAATGGAGTTGTAGTAGTGTTTCGACAATTAGAAGTAGAAGCTGACATAAGTGCATAATATCTAATGGAGACTATTTTGAAGGCGACAATATTAATCTAGACGAAGCAGTAAATATATTTTTCAAAAATCGAAAATTCCCGTTATGTTTTGCACACACCTCATTTTTATGCATATATAAATATATTATCATACACGTGTGTCTCTCAGTCACGATATTTATGATAAAAACATAATCCTTAGAAGTTGAAACTATCAACGTTAAAGGAATAATATTTGTAAACGAGTGGAAAATTTGTAGCGACGTTAAAAACAAAGGAGATCAAATGAGTTAGAAGCTCAAAAGTTTGAGTTTAATGTGGCGTGTGTGTGCTGCTGTGTTGCGAGGAAGTTGAGTTGATTAAAAGTTAGCTGCTGAGGTGGGAATTTCTAGTGCTTATGAGTTATGTGTGTACAAACATATGGTTTGGATTAAAGTTAAATATTTTAAATAGTGATTAAATAAATTAGTGCTATAATTAAGTATTAGATTTAATTTTTAATATTTCCAAGTATTTTTATACTCTCGCAACCTGTTGCTACAGAGTATAATAGTTTTGTTCACCTAGGGATTATGGGTTTTTCACCTAAAAGTGGGCTGTGCCCGCCCACTGGTCTAAATTTTGAACCGGTTCCTTATTAAAGTCATCTCATACCATCCCAGATGATCAAATTTTAATTTGACTCTGGCGTGTTAGGTGCTTGATTTATCGCGCTTTTTAGTTAGTTTTTAAACAGTACCGTTATATGGGGAGTGGGGAGTTGCCACCCGATTTCAACTATTTTCACACCGTCAATAGATAGTTGCTAAAATATTTGCTTCCAGTGAATTTTGTTATGTATAGCATTTTAGCGGTTTTAGGAGATTATGCACATTAACAGGCAGATGCCCCTCGCTAATGTGATCCTGTGTACCAAATAAACAGTCTTGTATCTTATTGCGGAGTTTAGTTTATGGCAAGTTATTTGTTTTTGTAATGGCTGTTTTTGTGGCGTGCGTGGCAGTGGTCCGCATTACGCCATCTGCCAATACCCAACCGTCTCACGGGTACATTTGGAAAACATGTTCTACCAAGTTTCATAAGAATATCTCAATTTTTACTTTCAAGTTAAGAGCTTTTGCACGGACGGCACGGACAGACGGACAGACGGACGGACAGACGGACGGACGGACAGACCAGGTCACCCGGATTTCAAACTCGTCTCTTCATCCTGATCATTTATATATATACATAACCCTATATCTAACTCGATTAGTTTTAGGTGATTACAAACAACCGTTTAGTC